ACTCCCCTTCCATACCTCTGATTCTATTATATTCAACAGTTAATATTGTTCATCAGATTTTTTTAATTTCCTTGGTTTTTAGATTCACTTGTTGATAGTTACTTATTTGTTGTTCATAATTTTTATCTTTGTTTACTTTCTCTTCTGAAAGAACCCCCTTCAGCAATTCATATAATTCTGGTTTGGTGGTGATGAACTCCTTTAGCTTTTTTTTTATTAGTGAAGCTCTTTATCTGACCTTCGATTCTGAGTGATAGCTTTGCTGGGTAGATTATTTTTGGCTGTAGGTTCTTGCTATTCATCACCTTGAATATTTCTTGCCATTCCCTTCTGGCCTGCATGGTTTCTGTTGAGAAGTCAGCTGACAATCGTATAGGTGCTCCTTTATAGGTTACTACCTTCTTTGCTCTTGCTTCTTTTAATATTCTCTCTTTGTCTTTTGCTCTTGGAATTTTAATAATGATGTGTCTCGGTGTGGTCCTCTTTGGATTCCTTTTGTTTGGAGTTCTGTGCGCTTCCTGGACTTGTAAGTCTAATTCTTTGACCAGGTGGGGGAAGTTTTCTGTCACTATTTCTTTCAGTATGTTTTCGATATCTTGCTCTCTCTCATCTTCTGGGACCCCCATAATTCTGATGTTGGTTCGCTTGAAGTTGTCCCAGAGGTTTCTTACATTATCTTCAATTTTCTGGATTCTCTTGCCTTCTAGCTTCTGTGGAGGAGTGTCTTCTGGCTCTTTATGTTCCAAATCTTTGACTTGATTCTTGCAATCTTCCCTTCTGTTTTTAGGACTCTGTAAAATATTTTTATTTCAGACAATGTATTCTTTATTTCTTGTTGATCGCTTATAATTTCTTGTTGACTCCTTATTAATTCTAGTTGATCTCTTTTCATATCCTCATAGGCCTTATCCATCTTTTCTAGGAAATTCTTGAAAAACCTTATAAGCGTAGATTTGAACTCTATATCTAGACGCTTTTTGTCCTCCATTTCTTTCGTTTGTGATCTATTTTGTTGTCGCATTTCTCAGTTACAGATGGCACAGGGTTTCAGGGTGGAGCCTGCAGCTTTGGCTTCCGTCAGCCCCGCCCTATGCGGGTCCTTCAGTGCTCGCTGGCGGTGCCTCTGAGAGAAAGGTGCCCTCGATTTTCGCCTGCTGCCAAACAGTCTATGCTCTCCCACAATGAGCCCGGTATTGGGGTTCAGTTCAGTTGGAAGTGGAGTTGGAGGTGGCGTTCAGAGCAGTCTGGAGCCCCAGTCTCCTTCCCGTCAGGGCAATCCTGCAGCACAGCCGACCTTCCCTTCTCTGCACTCAATGTGCGCGCCTCCGGGACCTCCTTTCGCCTCTCCCCGGGGTTCCGCCTTACAGCCCAGCTCCCTATGGCTGAGCCTGAGTCCCCGGGGTCTGGCCTAAAACTGGGGTTCAGAGCAGTCGGGGGCCCAGCACAGTCAGAGTTTTATCTCCTTTCTGCTAGGGAACGCCCGCCAGGCACTCGGCCTCCCTCCTCTCCGGCTCTGTCCTCTCCGTGTGCAGTGTCTCCGTACCTTGGCTTTTCCAGCTCCTCCGCACCTCCTTCTGGTTTTCTCCTTGCTTCTCACTGTAGAATTTCCAGTCAGTCAACCTTCCTGTAGTTCTGGGCAATGTCCGTTTTATAGTTTAGTTGTATTTTATTGAAATTGTTGTGTGTGGCTGCGGCTAGGTGTTCACCTGGGTGCAGCCATCTTGGATCTCTCCACTTTATTTTTATTTTTTTTATTTTAAAATATATATATATTTTATTGATTTTTTTCAGAGAGGAAGGAAGGGGGATAGAGAGCTAGAAATATCAATCGGCTGCATCCTGCACAACTCCTACTGGAGATGTGCCCGCAACCAAGATACATGCCCTTGAACAGAATCGAACCTGGGACCTCACAGTCTGCAGGCTGACACTCTATCCACTGATCCAAACTGGTTTTAGCTACATATGAATATTTTTAGCTTTAGTAGCTTTCCCTTAAAAAATGTTCCAAAGTAGCTCAGCCAGCATGGCACAGTGGTTGAGCTTTGACCTATGAACCAGGAGTTCACAGTTCAATTCGACATCAGAGAACGTGCCTGGGTTGCAGGCTTGATCCTCAGTGTGGGGTGTTCAGGAGGCAGCCAGTCAATGATTCTCTCTCATCATTGATGTTTCTATATCTCCCTCCTTTCCTCTCTGAAATCAATAATTTTAAAAAAATATTCCAAAGTAGTCCTGGCTGGTTTGGCTCAGTGGATAGAGCATCAGCCCGCGGAATAAAAGGTCCCGGGTTTGATTCCAGTCAAGGGCATACGCTCCAGTTTCAGGCTTGATCTCCAGTGGGAGGTATGCAGGAGGCAGCCAATCAATGATTCCCTCTCATCATTGATGTTTCTATCTCTCCCTTCCTATCTGAAATAAATAAAAATATATTTTAAAAATAAATAAATAAAATAAAATAAAATGGTTGTACCAACTTATACTACAAAGAACAGTATCTACACTGATAAAAGAGAAACATACAAATTGACTATTCCTCTGCTACACCCACCAGCCAATCAGGAGTGTGTATGCAAATTAACACAACAAATATGTTGGTTAATTTGCATATGTAGGTGAGGAGCGAAGACTGAAGGCAGTCTTGAAGGAAGCCAAGCACCGCAGAAGTGAGCAAAGTGGTGGAGAAGGGAGGGAGGCAGCAGAGAAGGGAGTGAAGCCCTATTCTTGCAGGAATCTTCCTGCAATGGGTCTCTAGTTGTCAATATAAGAAACATTCAAACCTGTGGAAAAAATTTTGTGAATTTATTTGAGCCAAAATATCAGTAAATGCCAGGAAGCAAAATCTCAGATTGAGATAATGCTCCAGAGAATAGCATTTTTGTACTTTATTTTATGCATTACAATAAAAATATGAGTCCTACATGAGTTACATGAAATCCATTGTTGCTAGATTGGGGAGGCAGGAGAAAGCAAGGCAGAAACTTCTGGGATTGGATAAAAGTGAAATGATAGATACATACTTCTTTTACATAGGTGGGTACAGGATAATTAACAATTAACAATGAACTCAATAACAATGAGGGAATCTGTGGTTTTTGAGGAGGAGCCCATGCTTTGAGGGGTCTGGAAAAAAAGGAAAACAACTTTGACATTCAATGATATGTTATTCTAGATGCAAAAAGACAATAGACAGGCTCCATTAGGGTAAAGATTGACCTTTGTCAGGGAAGATGCTGGCCCAGGACATGACTACAAAAGTGTTCATTTCAGACCATCCTTTGTGGTTACTTTTGGTCTCTGAGTTTGCAAGTGCCCCAGGCAGGCTTCTCTGAGCTTGTCAGATTAGCACGTGGTCCCTTTTAATCCACAGCATGACGTCTTGGCATTTAAAAAAAAATTATATATATATTTCTTTATTGATTTCAGAGAGGAAGGGGAAAGGAGGGACAGAAACATCAACAATGAGAGAGAATCATTGATTGGCTGCCTCCTATACACCCCCTACTGAGGATGGAGCTTGCAACCAAGGCATGTGCCCTTGGCCAGAAATTAACCTGGGACCCTTCAGTCCGCAGGACAATGCTCTGTCCTCTGAACCAAGCTGGCCAGGGCTACAGTCTTGGCATTTTGCTAAGTTTTTTTTTTTTTAATTGTTGTTGTTTTGTCTTTTAAGTTCCTTTTAGCTTTTCTTGTGAGAATGTAGTGATATCTCAAGTTAATTTATTTTATTATTTTTTAAATATATATTTTATTGATTTTTTACAGAGAGGAAGGGAGAGAGATAGAGAGATAGAAACGTCGATGAGAGAGAAATATAGACCAGCTGCCTCTTGCACACCCCCTACCGGGGATGTGCCCACATGCCCTTGACTGGAATCAAACTTGGGACCTTTCAGTCTGCTCTACCACTAAGCCAAACCGGCTTCGGCATAATTTAATCAATTTAATTAATTATGACCAATAGAATTTAATATCCTTACTTGTGATTCCTGATTGTAGCATTATAACCTACCAAACCACTGGTACCACCACGTCAAGAATAAGAGAGGTTAATACCTTCTTTGCACATCATTGCCTCTCCGAAACCATTCTACTGCCGGGAACTGAAACCTAACATTGTCACTGGTAATAAAATGTAAAAACAGCTAGTCAGGCTTGATGGCTCTGAATGGTCAGAGCTATTAACTCATTGACTCTTAAGTTGAGTCACTGGTAGTAAATTGTAGAAAGACCTAGCCAACCTTGATGGCTCTGAATGGTCAGAGCTATTAACTCATTGTGGTTGAGGCAACTTTAATTTGTTAATCATATGTAAATTCTTGTTGATTTTCTGTTGTTGGAACTTCCTGCCTAAGAGATGTCTTTGTCTCAGAATCTCAATAAAAGGAATGATAAAAGGCCAGAGCGGGGTTAGTCTTCCCACTAGAGGTGAACTTCCCTCCTGGCCCCCATTTTCCCAAATTAACTCTTTTCCAGTCTCTTCATTTTAGTGAAGCTTTGGCTTCTGTCAAAAGAAACCGGACCCTGAGTGGGCCCTGACCATGCGGGTCGTGTTAAAGGATTCCACATTCGACCTCGCCCATTCTTCAAACACCCAGCTTTAATTCTCATACAGTTAAGATTATACTCAGGGTTACCCTCCTTTTACCTTCTCCCTACTGCCCCTACTACAATACATTGGACATTTCCTAGTTTGAGATTAATTTTTAATTTCGTGGCTCTGTAATCATTGAAGGCATTTAGACTTCAGGAAGTCATGCCTATCGAAACATTCCTGCTGGTGGGTTCAGGAAAGGGAAACACGAGGCCTCAGTGTAGTTTTCCACGTTACCACCTTGAGGGCGACAGGGCGAACTTAGTTCTCACGACTTTCCCGGTCCCGGTGGTCCATCTCCATAGAGTACCGAGCACTTCCGCTTGAGGCGAGTGGCTTTCTGGGTAATGTAGTCCACTGGTCCCGCAGAGACGCGGGCACTTCCGCATAGGCACCGCTCGGCCAGAGGAATTCTGGGAAGTGTATTTCCAGCTTTGCGCTTCCTCTCTGGATGTCCAGGTTACCGGCTGCCTTCCCTGCACTGGCGGCAAGTCGGCTCCGTGTTCGCCCAGCCATCCGAACTTCTCCGGATCCTGGTACAACCCGGCCGGCCATCGCCCGAGGAGAAGGAGGTTGTATCGAAAGCGGGGGTGTCGGGGCTTGGGCGGCAGGCACTCCCCTCGGCGGAGCCCGTCTGCGCTGGGGCGGTTGGGTCTGGTTCTCCAGCGCTCTCCGCCTCCCCGGGCCGCGCACCTTCCACCCGCCCTGCTCTGCGGTCTCCCCAGGTAGAACTTGGGACGAAATACCTAAATTCCTGTCTCCGATGTCTTCCTGTGAAACTGGGATGACATTACTATCTTCTTTATTAGTACAGTGGTTTAAGTTTTCAACGGGAGTTTAAGTGAAAGTCTCCAGGCAGTTCTTAGCAGGTGGTGAGTGGTGGCTTCTTGTTGTCAGTACTTTTTAGCTCTCGGAGGTGCTCATTTTCCCGAAAACCATGGAGTCCGAGGGGTTTAGACTGTAAACTTTAGAGCTCCATCTGCGGTGCCCGAGGCGTTTCTCTCTGATCTCTGTAGGAAGCTAGAATTCCAAACCATGTCTGGCTGTAAAGGAGGAGGGAGTGGGGGAGGCACCACTGTACATCTCTGATTTCTCGGACGGAGATGTTTAAAAACAGGACAGGGCCCCAAAGGGAGTCAATTAGGCTAAGTCTCCTGTCACCAAACTGAGACTTACTGACAATTTCGGCACTCCCAGAAGTGGAATCTTAAACTAGTCAATCAGGAATCTCCAGATTAGCACCAGTTAGGTTAGATCAGCTGTCTGATGGACCTTTGCCATCCTCTAAAGAATGTGACTTTGCAACACCCAACCTGCTGCTTTGTTCTAATATAAGTTCCTTATTCTTGCTCTATTCTGCATATTTACTTTATTTTTTATTTTTTTAACCTTTAAAAATATTATTTTTATTTTTTATTATGTATTTATTTTAAAACCTTTATGTTCAGATTATTACAGTTGTTCCTCTCATCCACCCAGTTCCCACCACCCCCATGCCATTACGCCCCCCTCACTGACATCGATAGAGGTACGATTTTTGTCCTCCCCACCCCCAACATCCCCTTCCCTCTGAGGATTGTCAGTCCACTCCCTTTCTATGCCCCTGATTCTATTATATTCACCAGTTTATTCTGTTAATCAGATTTTTTATTCACTTGATTTTTAGATTCACTTGTTGATGGATATGTATTTGTTGTTCACAGTTTTCATCTTTACCTTCTTCTTCTTCCTCTTCTTAAAGAATACCTTTCGGCATTTCATGTAATACTGGTTTGGTGAGGAAGAACTCCTTTAGCTTTTTCTTATCTGTGAAGCTCTTTAGCTGACCTTCAATTCTGAATGTCACCCTTGCTGGGTAGAGTAATCTTGGTTGTAAATTCTTGCTATTCATCACTTTGAATATTTCTTGCCACTCTAATCTGGCTTGCATAGATTCTGTTGAGAAATCAGCTGACAGTCATATGGGTGCTCCCTTGTAGGTAACTAACTTTTTCTCTTGTTGCTTTTAATATTCTCTCTTTGTCTTTTGCTCTTGGCATTTTAATTATGATGTGTCTTGGTGTGGTCCTCTTTGGATTCCTTTTGTTTGGGGTTCTGTGGGCTTCCTGGACTTGTAAGTCTATTTCTTTCACCAGGTGGGGGAAGTTTTCTGTTATTATTTCTTCATTTAGGTTTTCAGTATCTTGTTTCCTTTCTTCTTCTGGCACCCCCATAATTCTGATGTTGATACGCTTGAAGTTGTCCCAGAGGTTCCTTACACTATTTTCATATTTTTTTATTCTGTTTTTTGCTCTTTTGATTTTGTTTGTTTGCTTTCTCATATTCCAAAATGTTGATTTGATTCTAGAATCCTCTATGTTACTGTTGAATCCTTGTAAATTATTCTTTTTTCAGATAGTATATGTTTAATTTCTGACTGGTCCTTTTTCATATCTTTAAAATTATCACTAAGATCCTTGAAATTCTCATTAAGTTTCTTGAAAGTCTTGAACCTCTCATTAAGATCCTTGAGCAAACTTATAATTGTTTTGAACTCTGTACCTAGTAGTTTGCTTGCTCCCATTTCATTTTGTTCTTTTTCTGGAGATTTCTTCTATTCTTTCATTTGTCACATGTTTCTTTATGCCACATTTTGGCTGCTTCCTTGTGTTGTTTCTGTGTATTAATTTGAGTTGCTATGTCTCCTGGAATTGGTAGATTGGCCATGTGTAATAGGTGTCCTGTAGGGCCCAGTAACTCAGTCTCCCCAGAACCTGAGCTGGCCCTTTAGGTGTGCTTCTGTGTGAGTTGTGTGCACAGTCTTGTAGTTGAGTCTTGATTGCAAGGAGTTGACTTCCAGGCCAATTGGCTGTGAGGACCAGCTGCGACTAAAGTGGAAGAGCCACTGTGCAGGAGACACTCTTATGGAGCAGGACTTGCTTTGGTGGGGCTTTGGTGTTCACTGAGTTTGCCCCTTAAGTGTGTGATGTGTAGAGTTGTAATCTGGTATGGTCTGAAGCTGTCCACCAGGTACACTGGCTCTGGGGCCTTCTGGGAGGTGCAAAGTCAGCCACTGCCTCAGACCACCCAGCAGGAGCTACAGAGGGATCTGCAGATGGCTGCTATTTGTATTAGTATTGGGCTTGGAGGTGCCAGGCTAGGCCAAACTGAAACAAGGCAGGCTGGTGCTAGTACCAAGTTTTGAGCATGTTATTGATAGATATGGGGCATGTTAACACAAGCTGCTTCTTGAGAAATTTTAGGAAAGTCTGAAGCCTGAACCAGAACAGGCCATTCAGATGGAAAAGCCACTGCAAACAACTTGGGTGGGGCTGCAAGTTGGAGGGGGCAGGGTTTCAGGGAATCACCAGGGTGGAGTGAAGAGTGTGAGCCTCACTGATGGAAACTCAAATATGGCTGCCAGTCAGCTCTGGAATGAGGGAGGTCCCAGCACAGGAACAATGACCCCTGCGAGCACCCCTGTCTGGGAAAAAGCTGCCCCCCTGTTCCTGCCCCAATGCCAGACAATCTGGTTCTTCCCCATATGTCCCTGGTTTCCCTAGTGCTGCTGCCCAGTGCTGGAGCTCAGAGGGAGCGGGGCTGTGTAACTCCAGTGCTGGCCCTTTAAGAGCAACTGCCTGGGTCTCCAGTAGCCTCCATATCACTCATCCACAATCCCTGGTGGTTTTTACACCCCAAAGTTACGGGGACTTCTCTTCCTAGCCCTGGAACCCTGAGTGGGTGTTTGCTGTGGGGCTGGGACCCCTTGCTCCTCACGGGAGACCTCCTCAGCCAATACATCTATCCCTCCCGAGTAAAAAACAAACAAACAAAAAGACACCACATGTGTCTTGGACCAGCCTGTTTTGTGCCTCCGCCCCTCCTGCCAGTCTAGATGCACTTTCTTCTTTACTTTTCTAGTTGTAGGACTTCCATTCAGCCAGATTTCAGGGGGTTCTGGATGATGGTGGTTCTGTACTTTAATTGTAACTTTGAAGTGGTTGTGGGAGGATGTGAGTACCAGCATTTACTTACACCACCAACTTAGTTCTCTCTGCTTGTTCTCACATATAGTTAATTCTCGTTCTCACATCTCAGACCAACCACTAGTTTACTTCTGTCTCTGTACTTTCAACCTTTTATTTAAATGGGATACTACAATATGTGGTCTTTTGAGACTGGCTCTTTAACATATAATGTTTCAAGATCATGTTGTAGTACAGTGGTTGGCAAACTGTGGCTCACAAGCCACATGCGGCTTGTTGGCCCCTCGAGTTTTTAGCAAAGGCCAGCTTAGGAGTATCCTAATTAAGTTAATAACAATGTACCTACCTATATAGTTTGAGTTTAAAAAAGTTGGCTCTCAAATTTCAGTCATTGATACTGTTGATATTTGGCTCTGTTGACTAATAAGTTTGTCTACCACTGTTGTAGTATATATCATAATTTCATTCCTTTTTTTGCCCATGAATATTTTATTGAGGATATACTACACTTTATCCATTCACTCACATAGGTGTACATTTTAGTTGTTTCCTGTTTGGGGTTCTTATGAATAACAGTTTTATAAACACTTAGGTGTAAGTTTTTGCATGGAGATATGTTTTCATTCCTCTTGGATAGATATCTAGAAGTGGAATTGCTTGATGATTGGTAACTTTAGGAATAACTTTTAGAGAAACTGCCCAAACTGTTTTCCACAAATCTTTTCCAGAATCTTGTGTTTCTCATCAGATACTAGAAACTATTTTTTTTGTTTTTTTAAATAAAACAGTTGTCTATGGTAATTTAAAAATGATTGATAAAATTACACATTATTAGAGAAGACAGTGAGGCAGAGTCAACAGATTTTTCAAAAGTTATGAGTGACCTTCACAGAAAAGAACAATCACTTCAGAACTACAGATACTATACAATGTCTTTTGGTAATGACCACATTATATAACAATTTTACATTTAAAATACCATCTTTTTGAAAGGAAAACAAGATGGTGGCATAGGTAAACACCTAAATTTCTGCCTTGCACAATAATTTCAAAACTACAGCTAAAAGACAAAACGGACATTATCCAGAACCACAGGAATGCTGGCTGAGTAGAAATTCTACAACTAAAAGGAAAGAGAAAAGTACACTGAGACTCAGAGGAGCTGCAGAAGGCAGAGGTACTGAGACATGCATGCCCTGAGTACACATCTGACTTTCTCAAGCAGGAAGGAGACAAAAGCTCCTGACTGTGCTGAATTCCAGTTCCTGGCAAGACTCTGGGGACCCATACTCATTTGGGGAGAAACTGGACTGTCTGGCAGCTGGCAAAACTCGAGGGCGGCTTTCTCTCAGAGATGCTTGCAGTGATTACTGTAGGACATTAAGACACAGGGACCTCTTAGGGCAGGGCTGATGGGGAAACCAATACTGTCTGCTCGGCCCTGAGACTCCGCCCTGAGACTCCACCCCATCCAAGCTGAGCACAGAGGCTTTTGCAAGTCTTGTCTCATAAGGGTGTCTCCAGCACAGAAGTTCTACCAGCGTAGACACAGCTGATCCTCATAGCCAATTGGTCTGGAGGTCTATTCCTCCCAGTGATATTAACAACAATCAAGGCTTAACTACAACAAGACTGTGCATTCAGCCCACAAAAGGGTGCACCAAGAGTGTTCACCTCAGGTAACTGGGGAGACTGAGCCACTGGGCCCTATAGGACACCTAGCACACAAAGCCACTCTATCAACTAGGGAAGCAGCCAAAATGCGGAGACAAAGAAACAGATCACAAATGAAAGAAATGGAGGAAAGCAAAGGATTGGATATAGTTCAAAACCATGGTTATAAGGTTTTTCAAGCATTTCCTAAAAAAGGCTGATAAATTTAGCCAGACCCTCAAGGATATGAAAAAGGACCAACTAGAAATTAAGCATACACTGACTGAAATAAAAAATACTATACAGAGATCTAACAGCAGACTAGAGGATCATAAGAATCAAATAAAAGATTTGAAATACAAAGAAGCAAAAAACACTCAAGCAGAAAAGCAAAAAGAAAAAAGGATCCAAAAATATGAAGATAGTGTAAGGAGCTTCTGAGACAACTTCAAGCATACCAACATCAGAATTATGGGGGTGCCAGAAGAAGGGAGAGAACAAAATATTGAAAAACGATTTGAAGAAATAATGACCGAAAACTTCCCCCACCTGGTGAAAGAAATAGACTTACACGTCCAGGTAGCGCACAGAACCCCAAACAAAAGGAATCGAAAGAGACTACACCAAAACACATCATAATTAAAATGCCAAGAGCAAAAACAAAGAGGGAATTTTTTGTTTGTTTGTTTAGTTTTCAATCAAGTTTTTAATGAAAAGATCAAAGAGAGAATATTAAAAACAGCAAGAGAAAAACAGTTAGTTACCTACAAGAGAGCACCCATATGATTATCAGCTGATTTCTCAACAGAAACTATGCAAGCCAGATTGGAGTGGCAAGAAATATTCAAAGTGATGAACAGCAAGAACCTACAACCAGCAAAGCTATCATTCAGAATTGAAAGTCAGCTAAAGAGCTTCACAGATAAGAAAAAGCTACAGGAGTTCATCACCACCAAATCAATATTATATGAAATGCTGAAGGGTATTCTTTAAGAAGAGGAAGAAGAAAAAAAGTAAAGATAAAAATTATGAACAACAGATACATATCCATAAACAAGTGAATCTAAAAATCAAGTGAATAAAAAATCTGATGAACAGAATAAACTGGTGAATATAATAGAATCAGGGGCATAGAAAGGGAGTGGACTGATAATTCTCGGGGGGAAAGGGGTGTGTGGAGTGCGGGAAGAGACTGGACAAAAATCGTACACTTATGGATAAGGACAGTGTTGGGGTGGAAAGGGCAGAGGGTGGGGTGGGAACCAGGTGGAGGGGAGCTATGAGGGAAAAAAGGAACAATTGTAATAATCTGAATAATAAAGATTTATTAAATTTAAAAAAGGTTAATAAAGGCATCTTTTCTATAAATTTGAAAAAAAAATACATCTTTTTTACTATAGCTATAAAATTACGAAGTCCTTTTAGTATTTAAAGTGCTTTCCAGCTCTGAAGAGTTCAGTTAAATTGGAACTAATATTCTCTCAGTTGTATATATGACACAGTTGAGGAAAAGAGATGTTATTAATTTGCCCAAGACAACACATCTCAGTGAGGTGCTGAACTAGGATTTGAACCCATATATTGCTGCCCCAGGGATGATCCTTCCTCTGGACATTCTATTGTCTCAGTTTGTATCATACCAGAATCTCATTGGTGACCTTGGGTACCACAAGGCAGTGTTGGAGATGGTGTCAGTGTGTGTGTGGAGCGGGAAGGGAGGCCGGGCTGAGATTTCGCCAAGCCGTGGACAGCAGCAGCCACCTCCAGAAAGGGGCTCCTTGGCTAATACCTAGTAAGTGTTGATGGAGCTGAGCAACACCCTGGCCACCCTTTCATGTCCTTTTTCTGTGTTTTCAGACACTCCCAGGCACGGGTCTGCCTGCCAGGACTCCCCATATCTCAGTCGGCAACCTACATTTGCAGAAGTAAGAAGAAAAGAATGACCACATTTAAGGTGCATATGGTTCTCCCTTTTTACTGTTAAAATTCAGTCTCACTACTCAGGTCATGTGCTTTTCCCTTTCCGGAGATGACTCAAGGAGAACACCAGGCATTTAAAGACTCTTTTCCTTTGTATTTGCTTTTAGTGTTGGTTTTATTTTGTCGTGTTTCATTTTACTTAAAAAATGTTTGGACAAATTAATAGAAATGACCACAAGTTCTCCAACTTTATTACTTTGCTGCTGGGACATTAACCATTTTCCCCCCATATTCTCTTCCTCTTGTAGCCATAGCTTAATTAATACTCACAATTACATCTAATATTAAATAGGGCTTTTTAATGTCACATAACATTTACTTTTTATGATTAGTATTTCTATTATTGACACACTTTTTTTAATTTTTAACTACTTACCACTCATAGACATTAAGGTGGTTTAGGAGTTTTGCTGTTTTAAGTAACATTGCAGTGACGATTTTCCTACCTGCAACTTTTTTATCCAAAAAAATTAATTCTCCAAATAACATACCTATGTTTTGTCCTCAACATACTAGGAGCTTAATGTTGAAAAAGTGCATTGATACATGCCCCTCTGAATTTTATAGATAGAATATTCAAATCTGTCATAGCACAGTAGGCACAAATATTGTTGGAGATTTTCACTCAGGAGGGGCTAGATTCTATCCTTCCTATGTCTGAGTCAGATCCTACATGTCTTTTACTTACTCATCTACTCTTTTTAAAATAAATATATATATATATATTTTTTTTTATTTTTTTTTTTACATATTGATTTTTTTATTATTTATCAATTTAGTTTTGTAAACAAAGACTGCAACATCTGTGACAGCAGCAACAAAAATATCTAGTATGATAAGTGACTGGAATTATTTCCATCATCTCTTTGCACCATTCAAGTTTTCCTCTTGTGTTCATAGAGCACATTATTCATGAGTTTTTATGGATGAGACAGAAGAAATGCAAACTCTCATGAGCTTAGAGCTGGGTAAAATCCTCTTGCTGCTGCTGCCCAGTATCATGACAAAGTAGAGTTCAAATTATCAGTAGCCAGAGAGCTCCCATAGACTGCCAATTGATTTCACAACAGAAACTTTGCAGGCCATAACCCATGGACAAAGACAACAGTGTGGAGAAGGCTGGGTGGAGGGGGTAAAGGAAAGGGAAAAGGGGGCATCTGTAAACTCTAAAATATATTTTTATTGGTTTCAGAGAGGAAGGGAGAGAGAGAGAAACATCATGATGAGTGATTTCCTACTGGGGATCAAGCCCACATCTTGGGCATATGCCCAGGGAATGGAACAGTGACCTTCTGGTTCTTAGGTCGCTGCTCAACCCCTGAGCCACACCAGCTGGGCTATTAATCTGCATTTATTCCTGCATATAACAATTCTTTTTTCAAAGTAATATAAACCTTATGTTTGTGTGTATGTTTTTAAATAATAAACTATTTTTTATGGCAGTTTTGCATTCACATTAAAATCCTGCAGAAGATACACAGATTTCCCTATACCTCCTGCCCGCACACATGCACAGCCTCACCTATTTTTTCCCGTTAATCCTCACCTGAGGATATTTTCCCATTGATTATTTTATAAAGAGAGTGGAATCGAGGGAAGAGGAGAGGAAGGGAGGGAGGGAAGGAGTATGGAAAAGAGTGAGAGAAAAAAGCATTGATGTGAGAGAAACATCAATTGGTTGATTACCACAAGCGTTGAGATAGGGGCCAGGGAAGGAACCTGCAACCCAGGTACATGCTCTGGGCTGGGAATCAAACCTTGACCCTTCAGTCTGCAGACCGACATTCTAATTACTGAGCCACACTGGCCAGGGCCTCTCCCATTTGTAACACTCCCCACCGGATTTGTACATTTGTTAGAATCGATAGAACCTGCATTGTCACCAGGAACCAGACTTTACATTAGGGTTCCCTATTTTTTTATTGATTTCAGAGAGGGAGAGAGGGATAGAAATATCAATGATGAGAGAGAATTATTGATTAGCTGCCTCCTGCAAGGTCCCTACCGGATGTGCCATGACCAGGAATAGAACCGTGACCTCGTGGTTCATAGTCGATGCTCACCACGGAGCCACGCTGGCCAGGCGTAGGGTTCACTCTCTGTGTCCCCTCTGCAGGTGTGGACAGATATGTTGTGGCGTGTCCCCGCCATTGTACTCGTACACGGTAGCTTCGTGTTCTGAAATCCCCGTCCTTCTCTTCCTCCAGCCCCTGGCAACCCTGACCTTTTCACAGTCTGCATAACTTGACCTCTTCCAGAATGTCATGTCATAAGTAACCTTTCAAACTGGCTTCTTTTACTTAGCAACATGCATTAAAATTACCTCCACGTCTTTCTGTGGTTTAATCGCTCATTTCTTTTTAGCACTAAATCATACTCTAGTCTGGATGTACCACAGTTTATCCAGTCACCACCTGAAGGGTATCTTGGTTGCCTCCAGTTATATCCTAAGGTATAACCGTGGTTAAAGATGTCCACCCTTGCCCTGGATGGTGTGGTTCAGTTGGTTGAGCATGGTCCTGGCCAAAAGGTTGCTGGTTCGATTCCTGGTCAGGCCACATGCCCAAGTTGCTGGCTCCATACCCAGTAGGGGGATGGGGGGTGGGGTGCAGGAAGTAGCTGACCAATGTTTCGCTCTCACATGGATGTTTCTCTTTCTCCCTCTCCCCTCCTATCTCTTTAAAAATGAATTTAAAAATATATAGAGAGCTGGGACCGGTTTGGCTCAGTGGATAGAGCGTCGGCCTGCGGACTGAAAGGTCCCGGGTTTGATTCCTGGCAGAGGCATGTGCCTTGGTTGTGGGCGCATCCCCGGTGGGGGTGTGCGGGAGGCAGCTGATCGATGTCTCTCTCTCATCGATGTTTCTGGCTCTCTGTCCCTCTCTCTTCCACTCTGTGAAAAATCATTAAAATATATTTTAAAAATAAATAAATAAATAAAATAAAAATATATATAGAAATATATATTTAATTTTAGAAGACGTTTTTTAAAGCTCAGGACAATGAAACAAAGGAAAGGCTGGGGAAATGAGTGTAGGCTGGTCTGCTTTGGCTCACTAAGCCGTCAGAGAAAGGGGGCCATGGGGACAGGCTCAGGGGGTTTGCCGGAGATGAACTGTCACTGCCCGTTGCTGCCCTGGTTGCAAGCCTCATCGGCTCCCTTTGAGTTGAGGAGACGCACACCTTTCTCCCGACTTCGGCAGCCGAGGCCTGCGGAGGGGCCGCCTCCTGGGCCGGAGGGGAGAGGCCGAGCCCGGACTCCATCCTGAGCCTCCTGGCAGCCGGGTGCACTGGCCCCGCAGCCCCTCACGTTCCCCACGTCGCGGGCTGAGACCCACATGGTCCGGGAGCCGTGGGTCACACGAGACGAGCTGCAGGAAGATGCTGGGGCGGAAACTGGAGCCAGGCAGTGGGTTCCCAGATCCTCCCTGCAGTGGCTGCGCCTGGATAAAAATATTTTTTAAAAATGCCTCGTCTTGCCCTGGCCAAATAGCTCGGTCGGCTAGAGTATTGTGCCAATGAACCAAGGTTGTGAGTTCGATCTCTGGCCAGGACACACACAAGAGGCAACCAGTGAATGCATGAGTAAGTGTAACAACAATTTGGTGTTTCTCTCTCAAATCAATAAAAAAAGTAAAAGTCCAGTCTTGCTGGATATGCCAGGCACTTAACTCCCTAGAGCTACTGGATAAGGAGGTTCATTTTATTTTATTTTATTTTATTTTATTTTATTTTATTTTATTGATTTTTACAGACTGGAAGGAAGAAGGATAGAGAGCTAGAAATGTTGATGAGAGAGAAACATCAACCAGCTGCCTCTTGCACACCCCCTACTGGGGATGTGCCGGCAGCCAAGGTACATGCCCTTGACCGGAATTGAACCCGGGACCTCTCAGTCAGCAGGCTGACGCTCTATCCACTGAACCAAACCAGTTTCGGCTGGATAAGGAGGTTCTTGACTTCATGTTTCACTTAAATAGGTAGAAACTGAGAAACCTGCTTAAGTCGCCCAGGAAACCAAGCAAGGGTCAAGGAATGTTAGCCATTCTCTTTGGAAGAACACACAAGCAGATAGCATCTGCTCAGTGCTGGTTGAGTTGACGTGCGTTTGGTGCCGTAGGAGGAAGTGACCTTCCAGGACGTGGCTGTGATCTTCACGGAGGAGGAGCTGGGGCTGCTGGACGCTGCCCAGAAGAAGCTGTACCGGGACGTGATGCTGGAGAACTTGCGGAACCTGGTCTCCGTGGGTGAGGACGGGCGCTCTGTGACGGAACGTCAGCTCCCAGGAGTAGCTGTGCATCCTTGTGTGTGCAAAGCTTTGGAGCCCTTGTAATGGCCCCCTGAGTTCTGGGTCTGACTTTTCTAATATGTAGTGGACACAGCGAGTGAATTATTTTGGTTTTTATCAACAGGCAAGTTTGTGTTTTGTTAAGGAATTATAAATGCACAGTATACTGCTCTGTCTTATCAATTTTTGACTCTATCATGAGTTTTAAAACCAAATGAGACCTATGCTCAAAAAAAAAATTTTTTTTTAATCCTCACCCAAGGATATGTTTTTATTGATTTTTAGACAGAAAGAGAAACATTGGTCAGTTGCTTCCCACATGCACCCCGACCTGGGATTGAACCCAAAACCTGGGTATGGGCCCTGACTGGGACTTGAGCCTGCAACCTTTTGGTGTACAAGATGATGCTCCAACCAACTGAGCCGTCCACAGGGCCCTACTCTCAGTTTTTGGGTTTTTTTGTTGTTGTTTTTTTTAGAAATTTTAAATATATATTTTATTGATGTTTTTACAGAGAGGAAGGGAGAGGGATAAAGAGTTAGAAACATCGATGAGAGAGAAACATCGACCAGCTTCCTCCTGCTCAACCCCCACTGGGGATGTGCCTGCAACCAAGGTACATGCCCTTGACCAGAATCAAACCTGGGACACTTCAGTCTGCAGGCCAATGCTCTATCCACTGAGC